GCAGAGTGAGAGAAAAGCCATGTAGCCCCACTGGAGACAGATTCTGGGAACTTTACCTGGTAAGCCACAACCATGTGGCAATACACAGATTACTAGGAATGGGTTAAATTAAGATGTAAAAGTTAACAAATAAGAAGCTAGAGCTAATGGGCCAAGCAGTGATTTAAATAATATGGTTTTTGTGTGATTATTTTGGGGCTGAACAGCTGGGAACCAACAAGAAGTCTTCTTACAACAGTGCATAATATTACTGCACCTTGGTAGGCCATGCTCTGTTGAACAAGAGAAGCTACAAATTAAATTCTATAATTCCCATCATAAAAATCAAGAGTCAGAGGCTGGAGAGATGGCTCAGAGGTTAAGAGTACTGACTGCTCTTCCAGAGGTCCTGAGTTCAATTCCCAGCAACCACATGGTGGCTCACAGCCATCTCTAATGAGATCTGGTGCCCTCTTCTGGCCATTAAGCATACAGACAGACAGAACACTGTATATATAATAAATAAATAAATCTTTAAAAAAATCAAGAGTGAAAAGTAATTTAAAAATAAGGCTGTGGGACTGAAGATATGACGGCTTAGTGGTTCAGAGTACAGGTTGTTCTTCCAGCGGACCCAATTTCAACTCCCAGCAACTGCATGGTAGCTAACAAATGTCTGTAAACTCTAGTTCCAGGTATGCAGACACCCTCACACAGACATACAATGCAGTCAGTATGCCAACGCATATAAAATAAAAATAACGTATTAAATAAATAAAAAGTAGGTCTGAAAAATTTGCTAAAGTGTGTGCTTTACAAACACCTGGGCCTGAGCTAGATGGCAAAAAGCCATTTTAAGGATGTATCTAGGTGTATCTCAGCCATTTGAGATTCTTCTGTTGAGAATTTACTGTATTAGAGAGACTAGGTAACAAGAGAGCTGAATGAGGAGCACATAGATTCCCCTGGGAAAGGAAAATTGAAGAGATCTCCTAGGTAAATGGGGGATGGGGAAGCATGAGGGATGGATTGAAAGGGTTGGGGGCAAGACAGAGAGGGGGACTAATTAAAAAGATGTCTTCATATTTGGGAGGCATTTCGGGGTTAGGGAGAAACCTGGTGCCATGGAAACTCCCACAAATGTGCAAAGATGAATACAGTTAAGGCTTCTAGCATTAGTTGATAGATAACCTGAACTGTCCTTCTCCTGTAATGAGACTGGTAACTACCACATTTGTCATAAAAGATCCTTCATCCAATAATGGATGGGAACAAATGCAGAGATCCACAGATAAATGTTAGACTGAACTCAGGGAATCTTGCTGAAGAAAAAAAAAATGGATTGTAGAAGCCAGGGGATCAATGTCATCAGAAGAAAACACATAGAAACAGCTAATCTGGGTTCATAGGAGTTCACGGACTCTGGAATGACAGCTGGGGACCTGCATGGGAACGACCTATATATATGTGACAGTTGTGTAGCCTGGTCTATTTGATAGATTCTTGGCAGTGAGATCAGGGCCTGTCCTTAATGTTTGAGATGGCTTTTGGTAACCTATTCCTCATACTGAGTTGTGTTACCCAGTTTTAATACAAAGGAAGGAGCTTAGTCCTACCTCAACTTGATATGCCATGTGTTGTTGACATCCATGGGAGGCCTGCCTCTTTCTGAACAGAAACAGAGGAGGATTGGATGGGGAGGGAAGGGAGGAGAAAATAGAAGAGGAGGGAAGGGAAACAATGGTTTGCCTGTAAAATAAATGAAAAAAAAATAATAAACAAGAAAAGAAAAACCTTTTTGAAATCTAAATTCTCTAGCCTTGTTACAATAATATGAAAGTGTCAGAAAGATTACTGGCTTTCAAAAAACCAGATCGTCATAATGTGGGCTGAAACCAATCACACTGTCTAGTAGCTTATATAAAATATAAAATCTTCACTTCTACTTTTATTCCATTTGTCAAAATATTTGGCTTAAACAGATGATCTCTGTATATAAATATTTAAGACCAATGCACAATTTTTGATCACAGATAATAATTAACCAACAGGGAACTGGCATTTGCTCCCATTCGGGTGTTTGCCCCCTGAGAGCTGGGAATTCTTGAAGAGAGTGCAATCATGCTATTTGGTGTTGGCATATATAAGTTCAAGGTACAGCTTCAGATTACAGGAGGCAGAACTGCTCAGGTGATTGTGAAAGGTGAGACTGTTGTTAATTCTAGAGCTGAAGGAACTCTTGGGGTTGTTAACCTATCATGAGATGAAATTCAAAACAGTGTATAAAAAGGTTATTCCACAGCACCTCTCTGAACAATCTAATAGGGCCTCTCTTGCTGACTCCTATTTTGGAAGCTTCCAGCTTGAATCAGGGAATGCCAAAATTACAGCCCTGTAGAATAAACCCCTGTCAGCAAACCTCTATGATACTACCCTGACTTTTTACTGCTCTACAGCAGTGCTGAATCATGGGGGGAGGGGGGGAAGACCTTTAGTATTTTCTCAGGATGGCTCCTCAGCATGGCAGTATCACAATAATAATCTATCTTCAGGTTGCATAGTATTAATGATTGGTTTTTAAGATTGCTGATTGAATTGCTGATGAGTTTTCATGGGTAAAGGGTAAATGAATTTTGGCATGGGATTAGGATAGAATTCTCAATCATTCCTAAAATAGTCCTAAACTTACTTTTACTTTTTTTTTAAAGATGCATTTATATGAAGAAGTGCTCTCAGCTTTGACTATTATAAATCAAAATTTCCATCAACTCTGAAAAACATTGAAGATACTCTACATTTTTTATGCCAAGATTTAATTATTTGTATAAAAATAAAAAGCTCCTGAATCTCATTAGAATACTAATTTGCTTCCATTTTAGTAAATGGTAAAACGATATATACCAAGGAATTAATTGGAAATACATTTTTTATAATTAAAAATAATGATAATAATTCTGAGTCTGAATCCCAAGCCCTGGTTCCTCATCACTGATGACTGCAGAATGTTGACTGCATATTACTCCATGGCAGTATTAGTGATTAGCAAGGAAAGTTTGCTGCTGAGGCTTTTGGAAAGAAGCAGGGTGGGTGTGTTCATTTCATTTCAAAGAGTGCTTTATGTCATGCTCCTAGAAGAATCACAGTGATGATGAATTGGAGAAGGTTGTTTTTTTTTTTTAATTTTGAAAGTGACTTACAAAGAAGTAAACCTTTGCCAGAAAACTGAGTGCACAAATTGGAATAGTTCTGTCAACTAATGGCTGCTGATAGAGAGAGATACATTTTCTTTAAGAATGTTGTCTGCAGTAAGTCAAAAAACTCCTGTGGAAGAACACATATTGAATAATACATGGACAGCACAAACTGGGCATTATGGGTGAAAAAAGACCTAAAGGAGTTGGATCTTTGATGATTTTGGAGAGGGGTTGTCTATGGTTTAAACCCATTGTAGGAAATTTTCAATAAATATTTTAAAAATCCTCACCCAAATATAGTTACTAAGAAACTCTCTGCAATGCAATACTTTATATTTTCAGAGTAGATTTAATAAATATAATAAAACCTTGACACATTTCAAGATAAGAAAAACTTATAAAAAACACAAAACTTATAAAGTTACATCTATGGAATGATGAACAACACATGAAATATTTTCAATGTGACATTATGATAATGTTAACATATAAATTATTATTAGATATATCTAAATGGAGTCAGTGGATCATTTATAGAAATGAAAATGCTAAAATCAATAAATTTTGAAGTACTCACTGAAGCTTTACTCAAAAAATTAAGTATCACTAGGTGTTTTTGGCACAATCCTAATATCTGCACAATCAGGGTGAATAGGCAAGAGGATTGTGAGTTCTAGGCCAGCCTGGACTACAGGGTGAGCCCTTATTTCAAACATAAATGGGGGGAAATAGAAGAACAGCTTACCAAAGAAACATAGGAAGAAAAAAATAATTGGACCTAACAAATACAATACAAAATTATAACTTGTAAAATCAGCATAGCTATGTAAACTTAATTACTGATTAAAAAAATGAACCACTTCTAGGATGGGAATTCTGACAAAATTTATAAGGTATGAAAAGACAAATCACGGCACACAAACACACATTATTTGGGACTGTGTTTCTTTGTGTAGTCTTGCTTCTTCTAGAACTAGGTGTATTGGTCAGGATGGCCTTGAACTAACAGAAAACTGTTGGCTTCTAGCATCCCTAGGGATGAGATTAACGACTTGAGTTACCACCACTGTTAGCATTAAGGCATCTGTACTGGCAGGACACTAAGACCACCTCCTGTGCACATTCACTATGTTGCCTTTTAAAAGGTGGGTCTGCCTACCTCACATCTGCTTGTCTCTGTCTGTCTGTCTGTTTCTCTCTCCCTCTCTCTCCTTCCTCTCTGCCTGTCTTTGCCACCCCCCCCCCCCCATTCTCCCTCTCTCTTTCTTTTTACTCTCACTTCTCTTCTGCTGCTCCTGAGCCCAGAGGCTGGTCCTACTTTCCCCTTCCATCTTTTTTTTTTTTTCAGAAAGGGATGACATTACATCACTGGTGAATTTTTTTGTTTTTTTAAATTTATTTATTGCTGGCCTAGGTCTGAAAAAGCATGGGATAAATCCGGACTAGCTGAATATAGCGGACAATGAGGAATACTGAGAACTCAAGAACAATTGCAGTGGGTTTTTGATCCTACTGCACGTACTGGCTTTGTGGGAGCCTAGGCAGTTTGGATGCTCACCTTACGAGACCTGGATAAAGTTGGGCAGTCCTTGGGCTCCCCTTCCTGCTTTTTAATGTTCCCTTGTCCCCAGTAAAAATCCCCTCCATGTGAGCTCTGTCACATGGCATCTTTCTCTTTCATATGGCTGTTTTTAAATTACAACAATCACCAATTGTTTTACAATTTTTTTTTCTTTTTTTCAGAAATCTGCCTCCCTAGTAATGGGATCAAAGACTTGAGTTACCACTACCTGGCTTAAGCACTCCTTTTATTCCTTTAGGATCTCGATGAAGAACATGGCAGCAGGAAACCATTGCACAGTGACTGAGTTCTTCTTGGCTGGGCTCTCAGAGAAACCAGAACTCCAGATGTCCCTCTTCCTCCTCTTCTCTGGAATCTATGTGGTCACTGTAGCAGGGAATGTGGGCATGATCACACTGATTGTGTTCAGTTCCCACCTGCACAACCCCATGTACTATTTCCTCAGCAGTCTGTCCTTCATTGACTTCGGTCAGTCCACTGTTGTCACCCCTAAAATGTTGGTGGGCTTTTTGACAGAGAAGAACCTCATCTCCTTCCCTGGATGCATGACTCAGCTCTATTTCTTTATCATTTTTGGTATTGCAGAGTGTTACACATTAGCTGTAATGGCATATGATCGCTATGTGGCTATCTGTAAACCACTGCTTTACAGTGTAACCATGTCCTATCAGATTTGCAGTTTTCTGATTTCAGGAGTGTATATTTTTGGTGTGCTCAGTGCATCAGTTCACATAGGCTTTCTGATAAGGATTCAGTTCTGCAAATTAGATGAAATCAACCACTATTTCTGTGATATTCTTCCAATCTTGAAACTTGCATGTTCTAATACCTATATAAATGAATTGTTGATTCTTCTTTTTGGTATACTGAATGTCTTTCTCCCAATCTTGACCATTATCACTTCCTACATCTTCATTATTGACAGTATCCTCAGCCTTCGATCAACTGAGGGGAGGTCTAAAGCCTTCAGCACCTGCAGTTCCCATATCTCTGCTGTTGCTATATATTTTGGTTCTGTTGCATTCATGTACTTACAGCCATCATCAGTGAATTCTATGGACCAAGGGAAAGTGTCATCCGTGTTTTATACTACTGTTGTGCCCATGCTGAACCCATTGATCTACAGCCTGAGAAATAAGGATGTCAGTGTTGCCTTGAAGAAAATACTTCAAAGAAAAACATTCATGTTTCAAAAGTAATGTGAAGATTATTTATTAATGCAAAAAGTTAGACACAGATGCATAGTTTCAATTCATATTTATTTTATTCTAGTTTTAAGAATTATTAAACATTTCCTAGAACATTTTGATAATGTTTACAATTATAAATCTCAAATTCAATTTTTGGCACATATTATCTCCTTTGTTTGACAGAGTAAACAATGTAAACCAATTGTAAGGATGGCATGAATATATATGCCCATAATGGAAGCCCATTATGCTATACATGTTTTTATTTATGCTTGATAAACATTACTTTAAAAATTTTAAATTTTGTATTTAGTTATAATAAACATTATGCTTTTCTTTTTGTTTACTTTTAATTCATGTTGGGAATTTCATATGTAAGCACTATAATTACATTGTTTTCCCATCTCCATACAGTCGCTCTCATATTCCATCTTCTTCTTGTCAAATTAATGGCCTCCTTTCCACATACATATATGCATATATATATATATACACATATATGCATGTATATGGAATATATATGTATATCTCTATGAAGGCTGAGTCTGTTCTTAGTCATCAATTATTAAGTATAGCTCTTCACCTGGAAGTGGAGTCCCCTGAGATTTTCACTTTCTACATTATCGTGTCCTATACTAGCATTTCTTGCTGTTGTTTAGCAAGCTATATTGTTGAGAATTAGAGTGAATTGTTTTGTCAGATAGAGAAGACACAATCTTGACACATCCTTACTTGTCCTCTGACTCTTAGAACTTAGAATATTCTTTCTTTTTTCTCCAGATGTTCCCTGAGTCTTAGGTGGAGGGCTTGTATTCTAGATGGACCCTCTGTGACTCTTCTCCCCAGCATCAGTTGTTCCTCTATTATAGACCATCTGTGGATTTCTGTAATGGTCTTTACCTGCTGTAGGAAGAGTTTTACTTACCTGTGGTGAGATGATTGATACTAAGTATGCAGTTAGAGATTAGGCTGGTTTAGGAAAATGTCACTATTATATTCTCCTCTGTTCCATGACTTCATCAGCAACTCATAGGTGACTGTGCTTATATAACCAGGCCTGAGGTTCCCCTTGTTGAGTGTGTAAGTTCCCAATTAAGTATAACTTCATAATATTGAATGCTCGCATGCTGTCACTGTCACTACTACACCTTTAGGGATAGCTTGCCTTGGTGGTTATTATAGCGGTTTCTAGGTGTCACAGAACTACTAACTGGTAAAAGTGACTCTGAGAAACCATCTTACACCTGTCAGAATGATTAAGATCAAAACCACCAAAGACAATTTATGATGGAGAGGATGTGGAGTAAGGGGAACACCCCTCCATTGCTGGTGGGAATGAAAACTTGTACAATCACTCTGGAAGTCAGTATGGTGGTTTCTCAGAAAATTGGGAATCAGCCTACCTCAGGACACAGTAACACCCCTGTTGGGCATATACCCCCAAATGCTCAATCATTCTGCTAGTACGTTTGTTCAACTATGTTCCTAGGAACATTATTTTAATAGCCAGAACCTGGAAACAACTAGATCCCCATCTACTAAAGAATGGATAAAGAAAATGTTGCTTAATTACATAAAGAAGTACTACTCAGTGGTAGGAGCCCATTTTTTAAATAAATAAATAAATAGAATTACACTGTGAATGTGTACTATGTTTTTATTATTAATTTATCAGTTGGGTGTCACTTAGGTCATTCCTGTTTCCTAGCTATTGTGATTAGAGGTGCAGTGAATATGGCTGATCAATAATCTGTGGTTTAGAATATAAACTTCTCTCTTCAGTGAGTGGTGTTGCATAGTCAAATGGCAAATTATTTGTTAACTTATATATTTATAATTCACTACACCTACTTCCTATTTAGTTTCATTACTTTGCAATTCCATTAACAGTGAATGAGGGTTACATTTTTCCCACATCTTCTCCAGACTTGGTGGCTTTGATATTCATGAATTTCTTTCAACTTGGTTAAGTTGAAATCACAAAAGTGTATTTTTGTTGGTAGTGCTTGATTATTTGTTTCTTTTTCTAAATTGATGGTTTTGCCAAGACGTGATGTTCCTTTTCACATTCAGCAGGTTAAAGGAGTTCTTAGTCCTCAGTTAAATCTTTCAATAAACCTGAAAAGTGACATGCCAAAGGTGTATTTCCATTGTTATTCTGAATATAATATTTGACAGTAAATATTACTCATCACAAACATGGTGGCATTATCCATATCCCAGCCTACAATTTTGGAGAAAACCCCTGCTCTACCAGAGGCAATGCTAGTAGGAAGCACCCCAAGGAAGAGTAAACCACATCATGCCGACACTCCTCAGAGCCAATCCAGATTTCTCCAATATCCCTTCCTCTCCTTGACACCATATCTTAGTCCATAATTATGGCAGAAGTTTTCTGCTCTGACAGAGGCCATGCAGGTACGTGGAACCTCAAAGTAGAGATAGTGCCTGAACTGGCCTTCCTATGTAATCAGATTGGTGATTACCATAATTGTTATCATAGAACCTTCATTCAAGCAACTGATGGAAGCAGTCGTAGAGATCCACAGTGAAGCACTGGGCTGAGCTCCCAAAGTCCAGTAGAAGAGAAGGAGAAGTGATAATATGAGCAAAGTAGTCAAGACCATGATAGGATACATACTGAAGCAGTTTACCTGAGCTAATGGGAGCTCACTAACTCCAGACTGACAGTAGGGGAAGCAACATAGGACCAAACCAGGCCCTCTGAATGTAGGTGACAATTGTAAGGTTCTGGAAGTCTGTAGGGCTACTGGCAGTGGGACCAGGGTTTATTCCTATAGCTTAAACTGGATTTTTGGAGCCCATTGTCTTTGGTAGGACACCTTGATCAACCTAGATATAGTGGGGAGAGCCTTGGATATCTCAAAGTGGTGTGCTAAACTTTGTTGACTTCCCATGAGAAGCCTTACCCTCTCTGAGGAGTGGAAGGGAGGATATGGTGTTGGGAAGGTAAAGGGAGTGGAAGGAGGGGAGGGAGTGGGAACTGTGATTTGCATGTAAATGGGAAAAATGTTTGAAAAAAAATGAAGTGTAGAATCTCAAATTCTACTCAAATTTCATTTGACAAAATATTGGTTTTAATTCAGATGGTATCTCTAAATAAATATTTATCATCAATATAGAATTTTTCAATGAAAAAATAGGATTGAGCAGCTGGACAATGGTATTTGCTGCCCTTTAAAGGGTTTGCTCCCTGAGAGCTGGAAATCCATGGAGACTGCTATCATGTTATTTGGAGCTGGCATATATAAGTCCAGGGTACACCTTCAGAGTGTTAGAAGCAGAACTGCTCAGATGACTGTGAAAGGTGAGCCCCTTGCTAACTCTAGAGCTGGCATAGCACTTTGAGATGTTAACCTATCATGAGATCAACTTCAAAAATAGCTCTGAGTCTAAGCACTAGGCCCTGTTCTCTCAGTACTCTTAGCACATCTGCATTAGTGATTTTGCAAGTGGGAAGTAAAATTTGGTGCTGAGACTGCCAGAGAGAAAGAAGATGAGTCATGATTTTACAGGAGTCACAGTGAAAAGTATGAATATAATACTTACTAGATTCCTTTATTCAATTATTCATGGAGTAAACTTTAAAGCTTATAGGATGCACCAATTACTTTCAGGTCCCGTAGGTACAGAGTTTAGCCAGACACCTGCATCTACTGTTTCTCACAGTATAATAATGTGCTGCTTAGAATGTAATTTTCTAGTATTCAGTAGGAAGGTCCAGTAAGTGGTGATGAATTGAATAATGTTGCATGATTCATTCTGTTTTAAATGAGATTTAGAAAGAAGTCACTCTTTACCAGAAAATTGGGTGGACAAAATGGAATAGTCCATCTGCAATCCTAACTAAACAGATTTTATGTGTAAGAATAAGTTTCCAGTTTCTTTACTTCAATTAATATTTGTGTGCTTAAATAACTTAGATGACATGCACAAAATGAAACTCTTTCCTTTTGCTTCCTTTAGGATATGTTAAAGTCCAAAGGAATTACCCCATTAATTAGGAAAAAGTATTTTTCAGATGATTTTTATTCTGTCAATGGCCCTCTTTAAAAGGGGTATTTACCATTAATTTTACCATACAGAGGCTATGCATCCATGTATAACAGTGCTTCCAACTTCTTGAACACAGAGAACATGGCACTATCAGTAGAGTATAATGGGATGAGTAGAAGAGGGCTGCTGTTTCTGATGGCGACCAAAAGGATTAAAGGACACCATCATAAAGGATAAAACTCAGTAGTAGCTAAGCACATCCTGAATCTTTCCTGATGTTCTGATGGCATGCCTTTGAAGAGGAATGTGTATTGCACGTCTTATTTGGATTATTATCACAGTTTAGCCACTGCTTATGTACAAATGATGTCTCAGATGTCAATTTCTTTATGCATCATCTCGGGGTGTGTGGACTTTCCTGATCTAGTAAGGATTTATGCCATGATGTTTTCATATGGGTTGCATCAAATAATTTATCTCAGACATGAAGAAGTGTTTTCATACATAATTTATATATGCTTACCTTAATCTTCAAATTTTAAAAATTTTTTCTTGGTCTGTGAATACATTTAAATGATACTTTTTGTCTTTATAGTAACTTAGAAGGCATGCTTGCGACAAGAAGTAATCCTTACCCTGGGAAATGAGTGATATTTGGCTCAAGTTTAATTCCAAAGAGAAAAAGTTTTATAGTCTTAGACTATATTAAACCCCATTAATCTGTGGTTCCTACTATGCTGACTTTATTTCAAGCAATTAAGTTCAATAATAAGATTAGACCTTCACTCTTACATTACAGAATTTATAGTCCCACTAAACCATCTTTGGTTAGATTACTAATTTGGAACTAGTATGCTTAAATATAAGATGTTTTGCGCTTTTAGTTCATCCTGCTGATCATTGGAAACTATAAAGTGTTTTGCAAGCAAAATAAATTTTTGAGAACCTATTAAAACTATAGACATTGGAATAAATAGATAGTAGATATATTTATGAATTTTAAAAATATAAAAATAATAGCATCATATTTTTAACTGACTAGAGGTGATGCCATTCAAAGTTTTATTAATTAAAACTTTTCTTCATAAAGCTTTGTGAATTAACTCAAAATTTCTTATTGTGTAACAATGCTGGGAATATTTGTACATTTTTGTATTGAGTGTAAGCCTATCAGTTTCCAATAATAAAGAATCGATTACAAATTTTATTGCCTTTCCTTCCCTGTTTTATTTTATCTTTACATTTTTCTTCTCATATTTGGAGCCAGTTCTAAGTAATATTTGCTAATATGACAGATTTTGGTTGTGAGGTTTTTAAAGCTGTTTAGGCATCACTATATCTTTTATTGCTGCAATGATCCAAGGTTACGAAAAGAGACAAGAATAAGGTGAGGGGAAAAAAATGTCAGAATCTGTCTTTGAAACATGGCACCAAACTGATTTTACTTAATCTAATGGATCCCAAATGCACAAATATTTTGATATTTTTATTATGTTACAATTTTATTCTTATTTTTAGGTAATTCAGATCTCTACATGCTACCTGAAAGGATTTATGCTTATGAATATGCTATATTCACAAATACTTTGATTTTTGTTATTCTTTTATAGTTTTATTCTTATTTTAGTCACTTCAGAGATCTACATGCTACCCAAAGTGTTTTACATTCATGATGTTTGGCATCGGGTTAATATATCTGTAGTTAATAGATTTTAAGAGAAAAATAAAAAGTTTTGTGAATATTTTAATGGTTATATAAGCTACCAGTTTATCTACAATACAACATAAATTCCAAATACAATAATAATAGAGGAGGTAATGGCACTGGCTTATTTAATGCACCTGAGTATAGAATGTGGCTAGTTAATATAATGTCAACAGCCAATACTTCTAGAAATAGAATTGAAAAAAAATTATACAGCTGTGGAGTTCTAGAATGTGAAATTTGAGAAAAATTATGCTTTACTGAAAAGACAAATCAATGTTTAAAATAAATCACACTCACACACATACACACTAACACACACACTAATATACACTCTGATTACTATCACTCACACATCTTAAGTCCCATATCCCCCTACTACACTCTCTCCTCACCACAAATCTCTTTACCATATTTATAACATTTTCCCTGTGTTTTGTGACCTGTTCCTCTTAGCCAGGTCAGTTTCGTGATTTTAAGTTTAGAACTATTCATTGGAGGATGGGAGCCATGTTGGTAAATACATAATTGTTTGCCTCATTCTAGAATCAATGAGTAACCCAAAGACCAATGGAAGGGGAAGCATCAGATCCCTCCCCACCCCCACAAATTCTGTGAGGAACTATGTACAGGCTCAGTGTACAGGGGCCGTTGAAGCAGCCACTCTCACTGTGAAGCCACAGTTTTGCAGAATCATTACACCAAAAGAGTTTTTCACATAGCTTCCACATTATTTTGGCTCTAACTTTTTTGGCCCCTCTCATTTTATGATCAGCATCATTGTATGTTTTGTCTTTTCTTTAATTTTATGTGAGGTTATAAGAAATCTTAAAGTTGAACTCTTCTAGGGCTGCCAAGCCTTTCCTCAATATTTTCTAAAGACCTTCTATCTTATCCGTCTACTTAAACCTGTGAACTTTCATGAGATTTGTGTGGCTATCTAGCACGACTTAAATGTCTAGATTTTAAATACATTTCAACTTTTGACCTTTTAACTAATCTCTAATTCAGGTAGAGATTCATTTTGTGGAAACACTGATGAATTTTTCCACAATTCAATAGGATAGAGGATAATCATTGTATCTTCCCTTAATGTTTGAGTTTCTACATTGCAGTCTTTCTTAGTTCATGAGAAATAAAGGGAAAAATATGAACTGAGCTGAGATGGTTTCTCTTATTTTAATATGTAGAAAATCAGGTTTTTTATTTGATGAAGTGCCAATATTATATAAAAATGCAAAATTATATTGCAAATATTTTGGGGTGATAATATGACAGTATTACTTATTTCTTTATATGGTAAGTAACAAAAATACATTGTACTAGCCAAGGGTTATGTTGCTAAGTGAGCAAAGGCACTTTGTCTCCATGCCTCACTATTTAACCACTACTAACTGACTCTCTTCCTCTTAAGAACTGGGTCACAAACAGAAACTGCTTCCTAATGAAGCATCATGCATCTATTATGTAATCTTAAGAGTAATGGTTGCTCCAGATGTCATTTAATCTTCACAGTTGGAAATTTAAATACCTTATGTCTCTTAGGAATTAGAAAAACAATGACAATTTTTTTTTTAAAAAAAGAGACCCATAAATCCTCTGGAGAAATCAGATTTTTGATAATTCTTTATTTAGGGAAAATTGTTTCCTCAAGCAAGTCTGTCACTTTTCCTCACTGATACCCACTCTAATCCTCAGATTATGAACATTGCTTTGAAATCACAAAACTTATCAAAGCTTGAACAGCGTGATATTTTATATAAAAGGCATTCATATGTTCACTGTAAAAATATCCTTATTTTTAAGGATAAGTTTAAAATTAATAAAAGATAAATTTTGCTTCTTTAAATGATCCATTAATGTAATTATATAGTAAGCAAAATATTTTAAGGCAGAACCAATTTTCTATGTATTTTGTGTACATGGAAAATAATAATAAAGTCACTCTGACAACTTTAACTTCACTCTCTCTCTATATATATATATATTGTATACATGTATATATAATATACATATAAATAAATATATATATATATGTGTATACACACAGCACCTATACATAGATACATATGCACACATATGTGTTATTTGGGACAGTATTTCTTTGTGTAGCCCGGCCTTTCCTAGAACTAACTCAGTTGACCAGGCTGGCCTTGAACTTACAGAAATCTGCCTGCTACTGTGTTCCTAGTAATGGGATCACCAACTTGAGTTACCACTACCTGGCTTACACAATTCTTTTATTCCTTCAGGATCTGAATGAAGAACATGGCCGCAGGAAACCATTGCACAGTGACTGAGTTTTTTTTGGCTGGGCTCTCAGAGAAACCAGAACTTCAGATGCCCCTCTTCCTCCTCTTCTCTGGAATCTATGTGGTCACTGTAGCAGGGAATCTGAGTATGATTACACTGATTGTATTCAGTTCCCACCTGCACAACCCCATGTACTATTTCCTCAGCAGTCTGTCCTTCATTGACTTCTGTCAGTCCACAGTTGTCACCCCTAAAATGCTGTTGGGATTTTTGACAGAGAAGAACCTCATCTCCTACCCTGGATGCATGACTCAGCTCTATTTCTTTATCATGTTTGGCATCGCAGAGTGTTACACATTAGCTGTAATGGCATATGACCGCTATGTGGCCATCTGTAAACCCCTGCTTTACACTGTAATCATGTCCTATAAAATTTATAGTTCCCTGATTTTAGGAGTGTATATATTTAGTGTGTTCAATGCATCAATTAATACAGGCTTCATGCTACGAATTTGGTTCTGCAAATTAGATGTGATCAACCACTATTTCTGTGATCTTCTTCCACTCTTGAAGCTTTCATGCTCTAATACCTATATTAATGACTTGTTGATTATAATATTTAGTATAGTGAACATTTTTGTCCCACCTCTCACTATTACCGCTTCCTACATCTCCATAATTGCCAGCATCCTCAGGATTAAATCCAAAGAAGGCAGGTCCAAAGCCTTCAGCACCTGTAGCTCCCACATCTCTGCTGTTGCTCTCTACTTTGGTTCTGCTGCATTCACGTACTTACAGCCATCTTCAATGAGTTCGATGTACCAAGGGAAAGTGTCATCCGTGTTTTATACTACTGTTGTTCCCATGCTGAACCCATTGATTTACAGCCTGAGGAATAAGGATGTCAGTGTTGTCTTGAAGAAAATACTTCAAAGAAAAAATTTCATGTCTCAGAAGTAATGTGAGGGATTATCTATTAGAGAAATGTTTCCACATTTACATAGTATGAGTTGATATTATTAATTTTATTCTAGTTATGATAATTATTATTCATTTGCTAGGATACTTTGATAATTTTTAGTTAAAAATTTCAAATTCAATTTTCTATGTACATATTATTTGTCCTGTTTTGCATAATAAAGCATAAACCAAAGGATGTCAGAAATTTACATCCAAGATGACTAGAATTATGTATACATATAGATGTATATGTATATATAATTTTGATAAAAAATACTTTAAATATATTTAGCGTCCTTCTTAATTCCAAAAACTTGATGTTTTTTATTTTTTTAATTTATTTTTGGAATTTTATATGTGTTATAAATGTATCATTCCCCCATCTCCCTCTAATCACTCTAAATTTCCCCTACCTCTTTCTCAACTCAATGGCATCCTTTCCTTTAATTCACAAATATTATATATATATATATATATATATATATATATATATATATATATATGTATACACACATACATACATACTAATTTGGGGATTTATCCACCGGAAGACTGATTCTCTTCTTATTCATCATTAACTGACTATAGCTCTTCATTTAGGTGTGGAGCCTTCTGAGATTTTCACCTTCTACATTATGGTGCCAAATGAATTCATTTTTGGCTTTAGTGCAGCAAATATATTGTTTAGAATCATGGTGGCATGTTCCTCTCAGACATAGAAAACACAATCTCACCACATCATTACTTGGACTCTGACTCTTAGAACTTAGAACAATCTTTCCTTTTCCTCCTAATGTTCCTTCAGTTTTAGTGGAGGGTTTGTATTATAGATGGATCCACTGTGGCTCTTCTTCCCGGCATCAGTTGTTCCTCTATCAGACCAGATTTCTGCAATGGTCTCCCTCTGATGTAGGAAGAGTTACAGTTCCCTGTGGGTGAGATGATCACTACTAAGTATGCAGTTAGAGATTATATTAGTTCAGGAAAGAGTCTCTATTAGATTATCTTCTATGTTCCATGACTTCATCAGCAACTCATAGTTGACTCCGTTTATAAAACCAGGCATGAAGTTCCCCCTGTTGAGTGGATATTAATAGTATTTTTTTTAAATATTTTTCTTTTATTAAAAAAGAAAACAAACTATCTTTTTTCATTTTACATACCAAACCCCAATTCCCATTTCTTCCCTTTCTCCATTTCCTACCCCACCACCACATCACCATCCACTCTTAAGAGAGGATAAGGCACATTTCTTTTGGATGGTCCGAGGCCCTCCCTACTTTATCTAGGCTGGGCAAGATATCTCTCCAAAGAGAACAGTCTCCTAAAAAGCCTGTACAAGCAGTACGAATAAATTCTGGTGCTACTACCAGTGGCCCTGCAGGCTGCCCCAGCCATACAACTATCATTCACATTCAGAGGGTCTAGTTTGGACCTATGCTGCTTCCTTCCCTGTCTGACTGGAGTTGGTGAGCTCCCATTAGCTCAGGTAAAGGGATTCACCATGGTCTTGACCTCTTTGCTCATATTCTCACTCCATTCACATTTCAACTGGAATTTGGAAGCTCAGCCCAGTGGTCTGCCGTGGGTCTCTGCCTCTGTTTCTATCAGTTGCTGGATGAAGGTTCTCTGGTGACATTTAAGGTATTCATCAATCTGACTACAGTGCAAGGCCAGTTCATACAACCTCTC